TTTTTTTTTTTTTTTTTTTATTATTAATCAATCTATCGCATGTTTTGTTATAATAACGATAATGGTAAGCGAATATATATATTTTTTTAAAAAAAATCATTGATATAGAAAGACACGTTTTTCATGATGATCTCTATATAATAAATCAAACTAGAGTTTCTGAGAAACAAATATTCCATGATTATTCGCAGAATCTGACCAAAATTGTGTCAAAATCAATACAATTTACGTTTTTGAAACGTTAATTATTTGAATTAATAATTATTTCTTCTATCTTTTGATGTAGGTTTTAAATTGTGTGCGTAATAGGAATTAATTTTACTAAAGATGTGAGAAGGTAATGAAAATTTTTGATTTATTATTTTAAAGTAGTAGTTTTTTGTGCTATGATGAAACAATGCAAAAAAAGCTGGAATTACCGACTGAAAGTTTTATGTTGAGAGATTTTGCTAAATATTCTGAACAAAGAAATAATAAACAAATGGATACTTGTATATCACTCTTGAATGAGAATGCTTTAATTTAATAATTTACTTTCACTTTCATTGCAATTACAGGTCATTCATTGTCATGGTAAAAATATTATTCGGCTAATTTAATGTAAAGGACCTATAGATAGGTATTTGTGTTTCTATGATTTATGATATATTCAATTATAATATTTTTATTAATTATATTTTCATTTCACATTAAGAAATACAATGTTTATAGTACGATTTTTAGGTAAGTTTTTAATTCTCATAATACATTTATATTTATTCGATCCTTTATAAAATGATGATTAAGATGACGAGTCAGACAAGTTATTTCTTGGTTGTTGATACACTATTTTTACCATTCATGCTTAGCTGATGTTATATCATTTTAATCAGATACTTGTATATGTCAATTGGATTTAATTCTTCTTTCTTTCTTTTCTAATACAATATTCCAGACCTATTTTGCAAACTTAACGATTTTGTTAACGTATATTAATATACTGATTACTATAAAAAAAAATAATTTCTTATTTCGTTATATTGCAAATTATTTATTATAACACTTTTAAATGATAC